CCAAAGCCAACCCGTAATCCAAAACCGTAGACGAAGGAGAGAGCCGAGAGTCCAGGGGAAGCCAGTGATCCAAACAGGGAGAGAGTAGCCAAAGCCAACCCGTAATCCAAAACCGTAGACGAAGGGAAGAAACCAAAGTCGAAACCAGCACAGTACGAAGAGGTAGAAGGCGTAGCGCAACTAAGTAGCTAGAAAGGAAAACCAATACTGAGCGAGGAGGTAGGGAAAGACTAGCGCTTAAATACAAGATGAGACGGAGGTGTGGTGGTGAAAGCGTACACTGATAGGTGGACTAATGAACTAAGACTACGCCTTCTTCTGCCTCTTTCCTTGCCAGGAGGCAGGGATCGTAACCGAGCTCTACTGAAATCATACAATTCCCTTTTGTTCTTAGAAATACAGAAATACAAAAACCCTATTTAAATGTTATTTTTAGATGTAGTACATCTAAATAGTACAGATGACACTATTGCAGCTCATCATATGGTTATTATTCATGGATCTGGGAAATATGTAAGACATCTGTTTTGCAATTAAGGTGACATTGACTATTGAGGAGATAAAAAAATACTAACTCATAGTACGCAGCCCAATGTAAACAAAACTCCACCTCAAAGTCTTTAACACAGTAGCGTCTCTTCTAGAATATCTATAAATATTTTTTCACTATATTAATTGAGAATCTGGCTGCATTTAAAAATGATGCAAATGATGCTGAAATTTCAAATAAAATAAATTGGTACTCAGCTCCAAAGAGCTCATCCTTTTTAACTGCAGTTGAAAATTAAGTGTCTTGTTAAACATGCCACCTTTCTAAAGAACAATATGAATTCCACAGGAAAACCTGTTTTCTCAAAATTGTCAGTAATGTGCATATATTGACATTAACTGGTGTCAGGTATGTAGCGATACCAATTTCTTTTCAACAAACCATGTTTTCCATTCCTTCACTTGGATGGAATACCTAGGCTACATGCAGCTTTCCTCTGGATCTTCAAAACATGATATACTTTTTTTTTACACTGAACATCACAGGGTAGGCCAAATCGATCTTTGAGGAAATAAATCTGTGACAATGCACAAGGGCAACTATAAGAGATGGATTGGAATATAAAATTACACACATCACTGACACTTACACTCAACTACAGATCAATAGAATTCAAGTTCAAGTTCCCGATTATTTGTCATTCCAGCCATTTAATAATAATAATAATTGCTTACACTTATATAGCGCTTTTCTGGACACTCCACTGAAAGTGCTTTACAGGTAATGGGGACTCCCCTCCACCACCACCAATGTGCAGCCCTCACCTGGATGATGCGATGGCAGCCATAGTGCGCCAGTACACTCACCACACACCGGCTATCAGTGGGGTATACAGTGGTGTGAAAAAGTGTTTGCCCCCTTCCTGATTTCTTATTTATTTGCATGTTTGTCACACTGAAATGTTTCAGATCATCAAACAAATTGAAATTTTAGACAAAGATAACACAAGTAAACACAAAATGCAGTTTTTAAATGAAGGTTTTTATTATTAAGGGAAAAAAAAAATCAAAACCTACATGGCCCTGGATGAAAAAGTGATTGCCCCCTAAACCTAATAACTGGTTGGGCCTTAGCAGCAACAACTGCAATCAAGCGTTTGCGATAACTGGCAATGAGTCTTTTACAGCACTGTGGAGGAATTTTGGCCCACTCATCTTTGTAGAATTGTTGTAATTCAGCCACATTGGAGGGTTTTCGAGCCTTAACTGCTTTTTTAAGGTCATGCCACAACATCTCAATCGGATTCAGGTCTGGGCTTTGACTAGGCCACTCCAAAGTCTTCATTTTGCTTTTCTTAAGCCATTCAGAGGTGGACTTGCTGGTGTGTTTTGGAACCCAAGTGCACTTTAGCTTGAGGTCACGAACAGATGGCTACACATTCCCCTTCAGGATTTTTTGGTAGACAGCAGAATTCATGGTTCCATTTACCACAGCAAGTCTTCCAGGTCCTGGAGCAGCAAAACAGCCCCAGACCATCACACTACCACCACCATATTTTACTGTTGGTATGATGTTCCTTTTCTGAAATGCTGTGTTACTTTTACGCCAGATGTAATGGGACACACACCTTCCAAAAAGTTCAACTTTTGTCTCGTCAGTCCACAGAGTATTTTCCCAAAAGTCTTGGGGATCATCAAGATGTTTTCTGGCAAAACTGAGACGAGCCTTTATGTTCTTTTTGATCAGCAGTGGTTTTCGTCTTGGAACACTGACCTTAACTGAGGCAAGTGAAGCCTGTAGTTCTTTGGATGTTGTTGTGGGTTTTTTTCTGACCTCTTGGATGAGTCGTCGCTGCGCTCTTGGGGTAATTTTGGTCGGCCGGCCACTCCTGGGAAGGTTCACCACTGTTCCATGTTTTCGCCATTTGTGGATAATGGCTCTCACTGTGGTTCACTGGAGTCCCAAAGCTTTAGAAATGGCTTTTTAACCTTTTCCAGACTAATAAATCTCAATTACTCTGTTTCTCATTTGTTCCTGAATTTCTTTGGATCGCAGCATGATGTCTAGCTTTTGAGGATCCTTTGGTCTACTTCACTTTGTCAGGCAGGTCCTATTTAAGTGATTTCTTGATTGAGAACAGGTGTGGCAGTAATCAGGCCTGGGTGTGGCTAGAGAAATTGAACTCAGCTTTCCAAAGATGTGATAAACCACAGTTGATTTATGTTTTAACAGGGGGGGCAATCACTTTTTCACACAGGGCCATGTAGGTTTGGATTTTGTTTTCCCTTAATAATAAAAACCTTCATTTAAAAACTGCATTTTGTGTTTACTTGTGTTATCTTTGTCTAATATTTCAATTAGTTTGATGATCTGAAACATTTCAGTGTGACAAACATGCAAAAAAATAAGAAATCGGGAAGGGGGCAAACACTTTTTCACACCACTGTATATCAGCTATATATCAGCTATCAGTATATACAAGGTCTGTCAAATCCCATGTTTTTATGTTGAGGTGTTGTGTGGAGTGTCTTTGTGTAGTGGTAGAACAACACAATCCCAGCCTATTTTCAGGAGAGACCAACTATTGTGCTTGCATATACTGTGTATCCAAATGGAGCCTCATATACAGGTCTCATACTTGGATAGAACCCCCCTACTGGTGAATTATGGAATTGCAAATACTCTAGTTTAAGAAAAACCTAAATGATGAAAGCTGCCCTAAAGTCCTTCATTCAAGCTATTTCGGTGTAGCAAGCGATGACTTAAATATAACTGGAGTTAATCCACTCAAATTGGAAAACTCAGAAGGAACAGAAGGAGCTCTAGTACAACACTAAGAACATTCTAGGGCTATACAAGATAAAGGAACTAGTAATAGGTTTATTCCATGCTGAAAAAAAGAAGAAAGAAAACACAACGTTTCGGCTGTGGAGCCTTCTTCAGGTGAAGAATAATCCAGCTTCTTCAGGTGTGAGGCTCTACGGCTGAAACGTTGTGTTTTCTTTCTTCTTTTTTTCAGCATGGAACAAACCTATTTCTTGTTCCTTTGCAGCCTACGCATGCTGACGCAGCTACCCACCTGAACTATACAAGATAAATACAACATACAACACAGAGGCTTATTTGTTGTTTTCTGAAAGCATGGCTGAGAAATGCGACCTTCCCTGAGACCAGTGGGTCAATATAATTGCCCCGTTTTTTAATGGGGGAAGCCCAGAAGCCCAATTATGATCTGCATGCCAAGTGCCACATCCCAGTACTATGTACTGAACCTGAGGTCCTGGCTAGGGTGAGAGTCACAAAGTGATTTTGAGCCTGCAGATTTAAATCTGGAGCCCCTGCTCTATGTTGGATCTCATCCATTTGGCATGAAAACTGTTACTAACGGAGCTCAATTCAGTAATCCCGACACATCGAGGACAAGGAAGCACCTGAATCAAATTAATAATGATCCCACTCTTTCCTCAGATACCATCAACGAAATTAAGGCTCGAGAAATGGGAGCAGGGCAGTCTTTCTGAAGGTTTCCAAAAAGAACAAACATCTGATACTACTCTCCAACATGCATGAGAGTCTGTGGTAGTTTTCTCTTTCTTTAGACTTTGAGAAGCAATGCTAATCTGTCTGTCAGCAACTCTGAAGCCTACTGATATTATGAAGATAAGCCTTTTACGAGTGATAACATACCCTCTGAGTTTTTTTTTTCAGTTTTTGGTGTCACCTGGAGTCATTACTATCCAAGCTGATGCAGACTGCTACATAGAGAAAAACCTTCTTCCATTTCCTAACCAGTTTACCCAATTCAGAGACACAGGGGATCCAGAACCTATTCTGGCAAGCAACTGGTGGAAAATGGGATACACCCTGGATGAGATACTGTCACAGAGCACACTCAAAACACAGACATGCACACTCACACAAGGGGCAATTTTCACAGAAGCCAATAAAAGTGATCTATATGCTTGGGATTATACAATTTATGTAAGGCATAAGATAAGGTAAGAGATCACTTTGTTGGCCATTTACAATTTCTTGTATCAGGAATTTGTCTTTTCACATACCCCAGCTTGCTCTCCATGAGACACACAGACAGGGAGAGAGAAGCTTGGGGTCAGAACGCAGGGTCAGCCATTTATACAGCACCCCTGGAGCAGTTGGGGTTAAGGGCCTTGCTCAGGGGTCCAATGGAGTAGGATTCCTCTGCCAGCCGTGGGATTCGAACCCACAACCTTCCAGACAACATTCCCTCTAAACTGTGTGCGTGTGCATGCGCACACAGGTTATGGAATCAGCACACATGGGAATTTGAACTGCGCACAAAAAATTAAATAAAAAAATTATCATAATAAAACAAACAATTGAAAAATGAAAACTGACCACACGAGACTGGCTGCAAGAGGCCCAGCTTGGCCATTATTATTAGCATTATTATTGCTACTCGATAATCGATATCTATTCTCTCGTAGTCTCGAACCTCACTGCTCATGCAGTCTCTATGACTGGGCTCGTTGAATCTCTGTCCCGGTCTTTTGGATCTCTATGCTTCTATGCTGACTATATTAACAAAAAATAATTTCAGGTTTGCAATTTTACATACACTCAATTTAGTGTGCCCAAGTTTTTGTCATTGGGGAAAAAAATTGCACAGCTCGAAATTTATGCGCACACAGATCATTGAAAATTAGATTGAACATTGCTTCCAGCCACAGGCTCAGATCCTTAGCCACAGAGCTACCACAACGCCCACCCTCCCTCACTGGGCACCAAGATCTTAGACACCAAGTACTAACCACAGTTTGTTGTCTCTGGGAGAGACTGTCCCATCAACATTAAAACCTGAAACACTGCATTTCTCCCTGTGGTGACAATATCCTGTTATTTTTGGATTATATTGTTAAAGCACTCTCTTCCTCACAAAGACTTTTCATATATTTTAGCATACTTTTGGGACATACTGTACTGTAACACTAACTGGTCTAAGTCTTCTCTTTTGCCTTTGAATTCTTACAAAAAGTCACACAACCTTAAAATATAGCAATAATTCAGCATGTAAATATCTCCTCACTGAAATCTATCATTGCGTAGACGTCCATTTACAATTGACAACTGTTTCACATAACTGAGCCATTCACCACTGCTCTCTGTTGAGTAACCCTCCAAACCGACAAAAACACTAGCAGTTATATACATACTTAAATTCAATTTTGTCCCCAGGCTACTGCCTTACTCACGCTTTTTGTCGCTCCGTGACACAGCCTGTACTGTATCTGGCAATAGTGAAAATATAGAATTGTTCAATATGCACGCTAATGTCTCTGTGTATATGAAAAAGCTAAACATTCTTCAACAAAATAAATTTTTGTATACACAGTATGCACCACCTAACCACAGGTTAGACAGATAAAGACCAGATATCTTTTAAACAGAGCAAACACAGCGTAATAATACTACAGCTACCACAAGTTATCAAGCTACTGTGATAGTGCGTGGGTTATTAGGCTGCGCTTTTTACGGACTTCACCTCTGAAATCTCTGTAAGAGATACATGTAGAGCGCCAATATGAAATCGTTTCGTTGTAGGTTCTAAATTATCCGAGTTTAAGGGCGAGCGATAAGGCTCTGTAAAAGCTTTATTGTGCGGAGAAAGAGTGCACCTGAGCTGAGGACTCTTGACGTGGTTCTAGGACGAACAGCTGTGCATCCATGTGAACATTTAAATATAGTCGTGACTAAGACAACTGAGACATTTTCTGGTCTCTGGGCCCTCTGGTGACGACTAGCGGACTCGAAAGCGAACTTTTCCTCCGCTTACCTGTAGTACACTTAGTGTATTTCTGAACGAACCAAAAAAAATATTCTCATCGAAACGCAGTCCTGTTTTTTTAACACCTAGGAAAAACGCATGCTGTTTACCGGTGGAAGGTGTCAGGATGCAATTGTATTAATTCGATCCCCTTTTTCATTCTCAATGGCGCACAAAGAGCGAAGTTAAATTAAGGTCCAGTAACCGATTGCTCTAACATGAACTAATAGCTAATTTCAGTCTGTGATAAAGTATATTTGATCAAAGGCCAGATAAATTTCTCTCGATTTGCCTCAATTTTATGGTCTAATAATAAATAAATCATTGTTTTCCTTATGACCTATGTGTTCTATAAGAAAAAAGACTTTTACCCATTTTTCTAACTGTACAGTACATACATCATGATCGGGATAGGGTGTTCCATATTTGACAACAATAAAAGCTAAAAATGTTGTATGATGTCCAGGTTATATCCCGCCTTGTGCCCGTTGCTTGCTGGGATAGGCTCCAACTCCCCAGTGACCTTGAATTGGAAGAAGCAGTTAGAAATGGATGGATGTTTTATGAAAGTTTATACAGATTTGCATTACATCATCCAACTACCTGTAATGTTTGACTGAAAGAGCAAACCTGAAATCTGAAAGCTAATATCAACGTAAACCAGTAGAGGGTTACAGGTAAGTAAAACTCAAAAATGCTGTTCACGTTCAATATTATTTTGTCATTTTTTAATTGCAGGAAGAACTCGTCACACTCATGAGAAGTCTAATACATATTGAGTTTATTATGAGTTTTTAAAATCCTGACTTCCGAAAGTGCATATTTAATTAGGCGCCAGTTTTATTAACAACTCTGTTGATTTACCTCAGTACAAATTGGAAACTGAAATACCATGGTACAAAGTACAAAGTTCTCTCTGTGTTCATGTGGTTTTCCTCCAGTTTCCTACCACAGTCCAAAGACATATTGGTAGCTTAAATGGCTTTCAGAAACCAGGCCCTGTTGTGTGTGTGTGTCTTCCCTGCAATGGAGTGGTGTCCTGTCCAGGGTGTATCCTGCCTTGCACCTGTTGCTTGCCAGGATAGGCTCTGACTCCCCCCTGTTTTTAAAACAATATCAGGATTGGATGAAGAGGATAGATAATGAATGTATGGAGAATGTTACTACTGGGCGCCTGTGGCTGGAAGGTTGCCGGTTCATATCCCATGGCCAGCAGAGGAATCCTACTCCATTGGGCCCCTGAGCAAGGCCCTTTCACCCCAACTTCTCCAGGGGCGCCGTATAAATGACTGACCCTGCTCTCTGATCCTGAGCTTCTCTCTCCCTGTCTGTGTGTCTCATGGAGAGCAAGCTGGTGTATGCGATAAGACAAATTCCTAATACAAGACATTGTATATGGCAAATAAAGTGATCTTATCTTACTATAACCCAGTAGTTCTGTGTTAAAGCCCACAGGTCTTTACTGGCCCTCTCAGCACACTGCTGCTCATTCTACCAAAAAAATTAAAGACACATTCAAGCGCTTGAGAAAAGCCGAGAGTCTTGGGGCAGACATGAGCAGGTGAGGCGGACATGAGAAAATTTGTTGTTCACAGAAAAAAAACCAAGATTGTGTCTTTGGGAATTGAGGCGAGAGATGAAGCAAACTACGAACCATTACAGTTTGACAGCCAAGAGGAGAAACAATTCCAAAGTCATATGGAAGGATCAAACATCTGCAGTTAAGCAGCAACTAGGGATGCCTATATCAAAAAATTTGGGAACAACTGTCTGCCCAGCTTAATTCAGATTTCACCTTGATGCAGCTTTAAGGTTAACAGCTAATGAATCGACAAACATAGAAGGCATCTAGATTCAGTGCATGGTGAAAATACATACATTAATGTTTACTGGGTCAGAAGAAACTATTCTTCTACTAAATTCAGTTGTTTCAAGAGATGGGGAACTAATCTGACTGGTAAACATTTATTTTCCAAAGTCTCCTGGTATTTAATTGTATTTTGAATGATAAGGCACAGTGCTGCATGGTAGGAAACAGACACACAAAGAGAGTAATGGACTCAACAATTAAGTGATAAATGACTTTACTAAACCACTGTTTATTTTCTTTGTTTCAACAACTTGAATCGTTATATGGTGACATAATAACAGGGAAGTTAGGTAACTGAATTGAAAGTAAGGTTCTTCAGATATTTATTGTATACCAGAAGTTATGCAGCTTCCTTCTAAAACTGATGACAAGGATAAATATCCTAGATTAAAATATGACAGCTCTGATATAATTTCATTTTGTCTATTGTATATCATTGGGCATCTACAGAGTGTCAGAAAGATAAATGATGATGAGTTACTATGCACTGTTACCAGTTTTAGTATCAAGTTGGAATTGTACATGCATGTTGCTCAACTTAATGAAGGTCACCTACATTTTGTGCATCTTCTGATGTTACATGGAGTGTGTGCATGTGGTCTGGAAAGTGACAAAATAGATCATGTGTGCTGCTTTGATACAGCAGTTACAAGACAAATTCCATCTGCTGGTGCTTTTCTATGTGATCCTTACATCTTCACTGCTTTAAAGCTTAAAGAACATTATTCCTACAACAGGAACAGGAAGAAGAATTGTACAGATTTGCAGTAACTTGGAGCAACGTAAATGGACAGTGTATTATATACAGTATATGCTCAGGAATTGTGAAAATATGCTTCCAGACAAGTGTTTTGACAAATTATTTTAATACTCAACAGACTCATATTTCCATAATATCACTATTTTTATTTTATTTAAATGTTCCTTGTTGACACTTGCCAGTGTTGAAATGAAAACAAGTTTGAATTATGTCTCCTTCAAATAACTTTATATCTGAAATGCAAAGACTGCACATTACACATAGAGATACTGCATATACAGTACATACAGTGATGAATAGGTGGAGAACCACTGCTATATAATAACTAAGAATGTCAGTTATTCCTGTTTTGATGCTCGTCTGAGATTACTTTTCAGAGTATCTTGAGGTATTCATGGATTTGCTGTTGTGAAATTGATGTGATGGTTATTTGATTAATGTTTGATATGGTCTAGTTTTAATTGACTTTTTGTCTAACTGAGATTCTCCACATGGAGGCACATACTGTACTGTAATTGTCCAGGGTGGGTGGGTTTGTGCTGGAAAGCACGTCTTTGCGCATCATGCAACAGCTGTAATTCCCTGGACACCTATTTCTGTTGTCAGTGACTGCTGATGTTCAATCTCCTCTAATGGGCGTGATTGGGCCTACAATATCAAACTGGCAGAGAACTGGCACAATCTGCATCCCGCTATGCAGATACTGGGTCACTGCAGTGAATCCAAGATGAATAACAATTAGTGTTTTAAAAATCAGAAGGTTAAAAAAATACTTGGCAATTCCAAAAATAATATATATATATATGCACTATAATGCAATCTATACAGCAAATGTTTAACGTACAGTAAGTGGCTATTTAATGAATGGCGTGGTTGATGTCAATTTTGATTGCTCTTCTTTCCTTCAAGTAATTAATTTGTTGTAAAACACATGATGGTTGGTAACTGAAAACGCTTTACATGTACAAATGAAATCTCATGCATGAATCATACATTCATTGGTGGTGAAAGGACAAACGGTGCAGAAGGCCTAACGATTAACAAGTGACAGTTCCCCACGTTACTCTTTTGTACCAGTGCAAGGTCGCATAGATGAAAACGTTTTAACTCGGTAAAATAAATTAATTATCTTAATATATTTTCAACGACGTTAAGAAATCAAGTTAAAACATCTGCCAAGAATATACAGCAATCAAAATTAAAACCAGGATCCCTGACCACCTTTTAAAAAAATTGACACGCACCGTAGTTCCTCCCGACACGTTCTTGTCGAGACGACTCTGACGTGTAACATACCCAACAAGTTAAGGGGTGAGTGGCGGTACTGGGGGGATTGCTGGGGAGACTATAAGGACTCACAATTGCTGTCAAGTCTCACAAAACTGTACAGCTAAAATCTCACTTTGTACGTTAACTCCCCCTGACACATCCACCTAGAACTGAACCAACATCCCCCCGATTCTGAGTCCGTGAACCATCACTACTGACGTCTCTTAAGAGTCAAAGAAACTCTTGGGAGTTGTTGCATTAATAATGTCCCTCTTCCGTCCTTCATCTCTCTGTCTCAGACATCCCCCAGGGGTGGAAATGCTTTGAGTCCATGAGAAGAGTCCCAAGCTGGTAGAGAAGGCGTGAGTACCAGTGAAGTCCATCCCCTTGCCTGGTGGCTGGCCCGATCACACTGTAGAAAAGCCGCAGTGGGGCAAACGCCCACTGGGCTAGGGTGTGTTTGTCAAAGGCGGCGTAGCAGGAAGCAAGCACGCCGTTCACCACCACTGTTCCCTGCTGCGTTAGCGGGGCGTAGGCCCCCCGGTCCTCCCGCAAGCTCACTGAGGCGATACGGACGGGCTGCAGAGGCCCGCGGCCGCCCGGCGTCAGGACGCACTGCCCCGGCCGCGCCTCGCTGGCGTATATCGTTCGGAACGGAGCCGCTCCCGAGCAATTGCCGGCCACGAACAGGAGGTGGGCGGCGGTGAGGGGCAGGCGCCTCGGGGGCTCCTCTCCCGTCTCGACGACATAGAAGAGCTTCCGGGCGGCGGGCTCCTTGTCGAGGAAGGTGAGGAAGTCGCTGTAGAGCAAGCTCCCGTCGTCGGACGCGGCTAGGACGCGGTCCCCAGGCTGCAGGTCTCTCACGGCCTTTTGCTGCCCAGACTCCAGGCTGACCCTGGCCCCTCCGGGGAAGCAGCCGCCCGTTTTGGCTGCCACTGAGTGTTCTGGAGACAAGAAAAGAGAAGGTCAATCCATCAAAATCACAAGGTGCTAAAAACGTCCAAGAAAATGCCCAAAACAAAATATTCCGTCTTCTATTTTTACCTTTCGGCTCTTTTCCCCAGTTATCCCCTTTTAAATTTCCCATTCATCTTACTTGAATTGACACTGGTGTGCCGGCCTTTTACACGCATAGATTGTATTTAGATCCTGCTAACAGTTCTGGGCTCAAAACAGAGAGCAAACAAACATATTCGGGCTAGTTGTGAAATTAACAGATTTCTGTAGCTAAGGAATTTCTAAGCCCTAGATCAATTGGCAGGAAATTTGCATTTGTGCACTCTTGGCTAACTGGACAGTATTTTTCAGCTTTTAATGTTCCTCCCATTGCAAGTATGAGGTTTTAACATAAATCCACTGTACTGTATAGCAAGGTCTATGACAAAAGCCGCTCATAAACTCAACAAATGGACAGATGCATTCTACTCAATATAACTAGCTCATTGTTCCATTGGTTACCATTTGTATCTATCATAAGCATCTCATAATAAAATAATGGCAGAAATATCGCATGTTCATGAACATAAAGATCTACAAGCTATAGCAACAAGCCTAAGCAAGTATGATGAATCAGGGGCATTCTCAGGAATAGTCATTTGTAAACATAAGACATGGGTAAATGCTAGTCTAAAGAAGACTTCAGCTTTCTTGACCCCAAGAAACAACATACAGTATGTACAGGTAGCATAAATTACTTTGTAATGAGATGAGCAGAACTTAGCTTCGATTCACAGTAATAGTGAATAGAGGATAGTATTAGAATACTACAGACCACCAAATTAAGATACTAATGCAGAATTATTTTTTTTATATCAAACTAGTTATAATATCATGTGTAAAGGAAGAAGTGGTTTTCTTCTAACAGAAGAGGGAAAACCATCAGGAATGTCTGCGGATAGCTTTAGGTAGTTTTAGGCAGATAGCATGCAGAGTTAAAGATAAGTTTAATGAAACTGTGTGAATTAATGTACATTTAGACACCCGGTTTTTGGTCGGTGACCAAAGTCGGTGAGTCGGTGAACGACTCAAAAAATGAAAAGTTTGATTCAGTAAATGACACAGTACCACTGACCACTATGTTCAGAGAAATAATTATTGAAACAAGGGCCGTGTCACCTGAGGTAACACCCCTGCTCTTAAAACCCTGGGATTTTTAATGACCACGGAGAGTCAGGATCTTACTTTAACGCCTCATCAGAAGGATGGCGCCTTTTCTTACAGTATATTGTCCCCGTCACTATACAGCGGCATTAGGATCCACACAGACTGCAGGGTGAGCGCCCCCTGCTGGACCCAGTAACACCTCTTCCTGTAGCAACCTTAGCTTTTCCAGGAAGTCTCCCATCCAGGTACTGGCCAGGCTCACACCAGTATGTAGTTTTATTTTTGTGAAAATAAACAAATATCACAGACAGTTTAGTTGAAGAAATGATAGCCTGTTGCCTTAAATTGTACATTGCAAGGTAGAAGGCAGCAAAATATTAACAAGTAAAAAATTTTTCCGAAGAACTTATTTTATTGTAATGAATTTTCACAAACCCATTATACTGTAGTATCAGATTCTGGAAAAACACAACTGTGTGATATCAGACTTTCATTTTTTTATAAACAAGGAACAAAGACACTACCTTTTAGAGGGAAGCTAAAAGGAAATAAACAATAACAGAACATTTCACTCTTATGTTTGAACACATCAAATCAAAGTTATTTGCTAAATCTCAAAAGTGGATTTTTATTATAATGGAACATTAATAAAACAGAGCATATTGTTATTAATCTAATCTAGGACATACAGTATTTGCATCGATAGCTAATTATATGATATGGTATATATTAATGAAACTTTGCATTACAAATACAGGTATAAGTTCTCCCACTGTAGTAGGTGTATCCAGTATTCACTGTAGTATAAACATTATTATTATAGTCTAATGCAATGCATGATTTCATAAAAAGTCAAATGAATACAACCATCTGAAAAAAACATCAAAATGTATTTGAAGAGGAGGAAAAGTGAGAACAGAGCAAGGAATTCACTGACGAGGAGACGAGAGAGGGAAGAACCCAAAGAGCGATCTTGTTTTGTTTGCTTGATGTACGTAAAAACAAAAACAAAAGCAGAGAACATCTGAGAGAGGTTGAGATATGCCAACATGAGGTGACTAATGCATTTTCAAGGCACACTCAGATTGAACATTGAAATAAGCTGTATTTATAATATTGAAGTGTGTACCTTGGTGGACGAGATATGACTATAATACAGCATGGTTGTGGGTTTGGTGACATGAAAGTTCGGGAGGGATGACAACAGCCAAGTTCAATCAGCCTCAGCCATCAGTGAATCACAAACAATCCTGACATCATTTCCTCTCCTAAAACATTATAAACACTATCCATTATCCCCTTCTCTCCCTTGCATACGTGTTTTTTAATCCCACCTCCACCCCATCTCCACATGTGCAGCTGCCCCTGGGTCTCTCCTCACTCTACAGAGGACTCCCAGCCTCCTTGTCCTCTGGCGGTCCAGGAGGTCAGCCCTCAGCCAAGCGGGTTAAGCCAAATTTTAACTAAAGCACCCCATAATCCTTTCAGTATACTTAATGTTTGGGTGTTGTTATTCCTAGTGAAAGAATAGTTATGTCAGAAGTCATGAAAAGGGTGTCCGATTAAGGATCACATTCTCTATTTCCATATTCAGGTGGTGAGAGGCAGAGAGCTTAATGGATAATTCTGTGAAATTAATTAAAATGCAATTAATAAATATGTTACGGAGTGGTTCCATACGAAATCAATCCAAAATGGCTCATGTTGATTTATCCCAATTGATCCAATCAAACGTTTCCAAACGTGGAGAAATTCGAAATTAGACTTTAAATTCTGGACCGGAATTACTAGGCATTCAGAAGACAGTGGTGCTGAAAGCCAACCAATTTTGGACTCCCAATTTCTCCATCACTGATAAAAACAGAAGGATGATTTTGATGCTCCTTTAAACATTATACATGCGGTTGGCACACTACTTTATACTAACTATAACATTTGTTCATAATTAAGTGTTTTTTTTTAATCTCACTTATCAGTTATGACACTTGTTTAGACCCTTTTTTGTAAGGTTTTGAGTTGTATCCACCATCAGTTGAGGTACGTCATGCACTTGAATGGTCACAGACATGTGACTGTGAGTCTCCCATTTCAGCTTGCCCATTTACTCTTTAGTTATGGTTCCAGGGTTTCTGAATCATGACCTGTTTCTTCTCCTCTCAGGGTGTATGTTCTACTTGTTGCTGTGGTCAGCTCTACTGACTAGATCTAGTCCTAGCCTGAATGGGGTGTGTCTTTACTTGAGAATTGTGGGAAAAACAAAACTGACACAGTGAGAGTTGTACACACGTCCTCAAAACGACAAGCTCAGCTATTGAGCAACAGTTGATCTTGCTGATCTAGTGGTTTTTATGATCTCACAAAGATATTTTTTAACCTAGTGATAACGGCCATACAAATAAATAAAAATAGCCAAAAAAAAAGAATAAAGATTGCTGTGTGGTTCAAGACAAGTGGAGAAATTCATGTTTCTTTATAGATATGAATGGAAAACCTGCATACTTATATTACTGGAAGGTACAGTGCTTTCCAAAGAGCAATAGCAGTTGTTGTAGAATTCACTCCTTTGTTATTACTTTCTGGGTTTTATATTGCTGATATCTAGTAAATAGCGTGCTATGTTTTCAGTGATTAATTACCCCCAATGTCCTCCAAACATTACCTTTTGCCGATTCTGTTTCCTAGGTAAAAACACAAAAATTGTACTAATCATGAAACAAAGCCAACTTAATGAGGAGGCAGTAATCATTCATCTCAGAGCTTGTATAACTCTAATTTCAGATCTGCAGTTAACCAGTTCATGTAAATATACCTCCCCTGCTTTGGTTTAAGATAATTTGTTCCTGAAAATCTGTTTGTAATACAAAAATTTGCATTACGATAATTTGCTGAAGAGGTCATTTCAGAGGTCTATAAAATCGCCCACTATTACTTTGCTATCAATTTACAGCTCATTGAATTGTCAAAATAAGAATATTATTATAATTATAATAATAATTGCTTACACTTATATAGCGCTTTTCTGGACACTTCACTCAAAGCGCTTTACAGGTAATGGGGACTCCCCTCCACCACCACCAATGTACAGCATCCACCTGGATGATGCGACGGCAGCCATAGTGTGCCAGAACGCTCACCACACATCAGCTATCAGTGGGGAGGAGAGCAGAGTAATGAAGCCAGTTCATAGATGGGGATTATTAGGAGGCCATGATTGGTAAGGACCAATGGGAAATTTGGCCAGGACGCCGGGGTTACACCCCTACTCTTTTCGAGAAACGCCCTGGGATTTTTAATGACTACAGAGAGTCAGGACCTTGGTTTTACGTCTCATCCGAAGGACGGCACCTGTTTACAGTATAGTGTCCCCATCACTATATTGGAGCATTAGGACCCACACAGACCGCAGGGTGAGCGCCCCCTGCTGGCCCCACTAACACCTCTTTTCCCAGGAGGTCTCCATCCAGGTACTGACCAGGCTCACACTTGCTTAGCTTCAGTGGGTTGCCAGTTGTGAGTTGCAGGATGATATAGCTGCTGGCCATTATTGTATGTTTTTGATAATAAATCCACTTAATACGGTAGTAAACAAGACGGGACGTACAATGGTAAACTGCTGAATACCGACAGTGCAGTTAGGCTCAACCAATGCAAATGTCTTTCAAGCACTCGCCTTTTTCAGTGTATTGCATCACTTGTATGGTGTACAGCCAGGGGACTGCTCTTCTTACTTTCCTTCCTTTTGTCATGCTTGAAGTACTGACCCTATTTATCTGACATAATGTTAACAAACTGGAGGAAGCTGAACACAAAAACACTACGCAGGTTTACGAGGGACGCAGCT